CCACCCTCCCCTCCCAATCCTCCAACCCTATAAACTTAGACTTCTCCACATTCACCCTCATGTTAGCAGCCTCTCCAAACAGGTCCACAATCCCCCCACCCCTCCTAAACCTTCCCCCTCAGGCACGAGAATCGTTGTGTTATCTACATAACCGACAATCCCTGGCACTCCTCGCCCTACCCACCCCTGCACCTCCCCCTCACACACACCTCCACTGCCCTATAAAATGGGTCCTGCAAACATGCAAAAAGTAATTGGAACAAAGGGCATCCCTGCTGCAGACCTCTTCCCATCAGGATCCGATCCCCACCCTCCCATTCACCTTCACCCAGACACCCACCCCATGGTACAAAGTCTGCACCCACCTCACAATCTCATCCCCAAATCCTTGCCTCCTCATTATCCACCATAATGCCTCCCTCTCAACACTATCATATGCTGCCCTCCAATCCAAGGCCAACACCCACCTCCCCCCACTCCTTGCACACTCTCCACAAACCCCCGAATCACCCCATGCCCCTCGTACATAGTCCTCCCCGGCATTCCATACTGTCCCACTGCAACTACCCTATCGATCACACACTTCAACCTGTTCCCTAATATTTTAGCGAATAACTTGTAATCCGCACACAGCAAAGAAATAACCCTATAGTCCCTCACCGTGCATGGACTGGCCACTTTCGGGACCAAGACTGCCACCTCCGTTGCCTGCAAAACTCCCAACTCACCCCTCTCCTTCATCTCATTCAACAGCTTCACCAAAAACCCCTTGAGTACTCCCCAATTCTGTAAATAGAACTCAGGCAGACCGTCGACCCCCGGGGCTTTGCCCCTACTCATACTTGATAATGCCTGCCACACCTCCCCTTCTTCAGTGTCCCCTCCCAGTGCCATATGATTCCCCTTACCCAGAACATTAGCCACCTGCCCTCCCAACCGCCCAATTGCCCCCTTATTCACACCGACACTCCTCAAATAAGTTCCGAACCATTCATCCACATAACGACCCATCCCTTCTGTCATACGAAGCACCTGCCCCTCACCATACCCTCTGACCTCCGCATGCATTAACAAACATTCCATCTCTGTGGCCACCTGACACTGCTGCTGCCCCCGCAGAACACATACCATTGGCCTGTCACCCCCACAACACTTCCTCTAACCCACCCTTCACCCATACTGCATCAACCCTCTCATTCTGCAATTCCCTGATGCATTGCTTCAGCCCCTCTATTTCCTCCTCAGGATAGCCTCCACCCCCAACCCCTCCCCTATAACAATCCCTCAACCTCCCCTCTAAATACTGAATAAGCTCAAAAGTCATTTGAGTTTCCCCCTTGCTGTTGCACATAATACTCCTGAATCCTCCCCTTTGCCACTCCATTCCACCATGCCAACAAATCCCCAACAGCCTCAGCCCCTGACCACAACTCCTTCCACATTCCCGCAAACCCCTCCCTTCCCTCTCCATCTGCAAGGAGCCTAATGTTCAATTTCCAAAAACTCCAATGCCTCCTTGGCAACCCATCCCACCCCAATTCCACGAAAACCGCCTGATGATCTGAATATGCTACCTCCACCACACACATCCTCTCTACCCTTGCAGTCCGCATTACTTACAGTTGGTCCAATCGAGCGGCACACCCTCCCCACACAAACATGTACTCCACCTTCCATGCTTCACCCTTAGCCACATCCCACAACCCCACCCCCCGCAAAAGATCCCCTAGCACAACAGAGCAAAACCCCGCCCCTCGAGGCCCCACATCTTTCCTGTGCACCACACAATTCCAGTCACCCCCCACAACTGCCACGGGGGGAAGCGACTGGAGGTGATACACCAATGCATCCCTCACAAAAGCATTCTTGACATGCCCATCCCCCTCTGCTGGCCCATAGACGCACACTAGCGCCACCCTCTCCCCCATCCACAGCCCATCCACTCGCACAACTCGCCCTTCCCCACCTCACTACGGTATACAACAAACGGGCTGGTCTCTCACAGAAGGATGGTGACCCCTCCTTTCAGTAGAGTTGAATTCGCTACAAACACCTGGAAACCATCCAATACCAACTCACACCCAGCTTTGTAATTGTGCTCTTGCACAAAAGCCACATCCACCCCAAACCTACAGAGAAAATCCAAGAACCACATACACCTCACTCTATTCTGCAACCCATTTACAGTCACTGAGACACACTTCAAGCTGGCCATACTTTGTGCCCCTTCGGCACTGACCCGCCACTAGACGCCTGGCAGCGTCTGCCACCACGCTCACTACCAGAAACCTGAGGACCTCCTGTGGCCGCCACCAGGCCCCTTGGCCCCCTTAGGGCCACCCCATGCCACATCTGCCCACACCTTCCTGCCAGGCCTCTGCGCCGGGGTGAGGACATCAGCAGAGTCCAACAGTGCCTCCGCCCATTTGCGTGACCCGCTCTCCACCTCTATAGCCACCTCCAGAGGGCCTTCGTTATGAACCACCACCTCCATGGTGAATACATCCACCCCAGTGGCCTGCCCCTCAACCAGCTCCACCACATCCTGTGACCTCATACAAGACACATTCCCGAGGGTCTCTCCAAGCCCCTCCTTGTCCGCCACACCAGGCGTTCCCAACAAACCCTGCAGCACTCTCTCCTCCATGGGTGTTCTGCCCTCCACACCCGGCATAGCCGGCAAACAGGAAGATTCCCCAGGTAGTCACACAAGACCCCTCAAGCAGCTCCTCCTGCTCCACTTCTTTGCTCCGCAATGATGTCTTTGGATGTGCACCTGATTCAGGCACTACTGTCACCTCCTGAATGGGCTCTGCCATGGGATGATGCCCCATGTCCTGCTTCCACTGTTGGCGACCACATTGCACTGCAATGTGGTCGTACGCTCTAAAGGAAGAGTGCGGCACTGCCCCGCATAAGAAACCATCACTTGCATACGAAAGTCACTCATCACTATGTATGATGGTATGGGGTGCTTCAAAGTCATCTTCAGCGAGAAGGTACCTTCAAGGAGGCCGGTATATGTGCCCTCCGTCCACTTCCCAATGGTCGCCACATGCACAGTTCCACATCTGCTGAAAACATCTCGCAAATCAGTCTCATTGGCCTCAAAAGGCATGTTATGCACCTTAACCCACGTGAAGTAACGAGACACATCAATGAGCCTCACTGTGACAGCTGGGTTAACACCCACACAACCATCTTGAAATTTGTCCACCAGCCGCTCGTAGGCACTTGCTGATCGGAGCTTAACAAAGACCCGATAGGCCCCATTAAGTGCTACTCCATAAAGTTCTTCATCAGCCACTCCATAGATATCCCTGATGATGGCCGGCAGGATAACAGAAGCTGTTTGGGCCGTCACAGCCCCACGCACCAGCTCTATAAAGACATTGTTAACCCTCCTCCTTCCTTGCTGCACCATGTTGAAACAATCACAGCTTGCTCCAACGGCCAGCAGAGGGCAGTCAAAGCGACGTCCGCTCACCACAGAGGTCGAATGACAAATGTAAAACTGACTGTTGTCTTGAAGTTAATCTGTTGTCTGAAAAAAGGAGGTGTGGAAGCCTGGCTGCGAGAACAGAACTATGCTGACGGAGGTACGAGCCTTCACGACTCTTCAGATCAAATCAAATCAACATTTTATTTCTCCACTAAATTTACATTGTGTGTTTACATTTCATAATTTGAGTGGTACAAAGAAAGCCACTATCATGCCAAGGCATTTCGGGTATAGAATGTCCCACAGGGGTTCAGCAAGCCTTAAAATTGTCAAAATTTGAAGAGGAAAACCCAGGTGGAAGTTAAAACAAAAAAAAAGTGGTACATACACAAACAGATATGCACCTCTGTATATATATACAGTGAGCGATATACACCCTGTCCATATACATCCACTTGCGATCACCTCTCGTGTCTGCAGTTACCGCTGGTCACCACAGTAGTTGAAAGCTGACTGAATGTTCAAGGCAAGAGAAAGTCCGCATACTTCTACAAATGTTAAGAGTTTTTCGCCGCCTCTAGAGAGGTATCTTGATGTTGGTGAGGGACCCTTGATTCAAGGAATTAAACCTTTTCCTCCTTCCCGGTGTCCCGTAGCTCGATCGCTAGCGCACTCAGCTCATACACTGAGGTCCAGAGTTCGAATCCCCGGTACAGCTGGAAAATATTAGGACGTTGTTTCCATAAGACACCTGCTGTCCCTGTTCATCTATCAGTATAAAATGGGTACCTGGGTGTTATTCGACTGGTGTGGGTCGCGTCCTGGGACAAAACTGGCCTAATTTGCCCGAAATGCTCTGCATAAAGCGACTTTCTATATAGTAGTATGTCACTGATGTCAGCTATGGTCTATATACCTTGTACATGTACTTGTAGAAATAAAGATATTATTATTCCTTAGGCTGAACTTGATTGTCGTCCGTTCCTCCCCAGGCGTTGTAAACGTCGTACTGCTGTTACTAAGAAAACGTTTCGCTCTGTGAAGTACTTTATCCAGCTATAATAAGGTTCTACACAGAACTATACGTTGTCCCAAAAAATTGTTCCTAGTGCTTTTTTTTTCACTTTTTTTGTGTCTATGTTTGCGTCGCACTGCCTTGTGCTGTTTTGCCTAACAAATTACCACAGAATTAGTGAACACTAGCCTAAACTATAATGAGATACTCTATACAAACATGTAAAGTTATTTGTTGGTTTAAAAAATGAAACATTTACTCTTGTTTCTGTTGTGGATCATTTCTTGTTGCAGTTTTCAGTTCCCACACTAGTAAATACTGTTTGCGCCTGCCTCACTTGTCGTATATATTATATATATATATATATATATATATATATATATATATATATATATATATATATATATATATATATATATATATATATATATATATATATATATATATATATATATATATATATATATATATATATATATATATATATATATATATATACGACATCATAGGCACTGTCAGGGTAGTAAGAGGGAAATGTCTCACCTATGTGCAGGTGAGCGGTGTATCGGCAGTGCAGGATGGGAGTTGACTGAGAGCAAACAGGTGGGGACCGTAAGAGAGGAGACCTTGTATGTGGGGATTACCAGAGGGACCCAGGAGGTGGAGGACCCGCCAGAGGGACCCAAGAGGTGGAAGCCCCGCCAAAAGGACCCAGGAGGTGGAGGCCCCACCAGAGGGTCCCAAGAGGTGGAGGCCCCACCAGACGGACCCAGGGAGTGGTGGTCCCGTCAGAGGGACCTAGGAGGTAGAGCCCCCGCCAAAGGGACCCAGGTGGTGGCCCCGCCAGAGGGGCTCAAGAGAGGGAAGCCCCGCCAGAGGGACCCAGAAGGTAGAGGTACCGCTAGAGGGACCAGGAGGTGGTGGCCCCCGCCGGAGGGGCCCTGGAGGTGAAGGGCCCCGGCAGTACCCTCCCCTCCTCCTTCCATGTCATTGTTGACCTTCATCATTGTCAGTCATAGCTCATCCTCCACCACTGTCACTCCCCTTCCACTGCCATTGCTCACTTCCACCACTGTCAGTCATGGCTCATCCTCCACCAGTGTCAGTCATGACTCATCCTCCGCCACTGTCAGTCATGGCTCATCCTCCATCACTACCACACACCTGCCTTCCTCCGCAAAGTTGGCAGCTTGTTGTAGTGACATTTATAGTGACCTCATAGAAATCACAGAAAAAAATGAAAGATCAGCTGAAAGAGAAGTGACATTGCTTGTAAAGAACAACTGAAGTTTCGAGGAAATGAGAAGGATGAGCAGCAACGAAGACAATAACCACACTGGGAACCCAAGGTAGTAACCTATAATCCTCCAGTTAATAGCACCAGACCAAGACGAAGTACTCGGACAAGTACAGGTACGTAGAAGGCAACAGGGTCATGGCAAATACTATAGAAGAAGCGGCAACTTGAGCCCTCGAGGCAAAATGCAAAACTGCTGATCATGGAAGACTTCACGGGTAAATTGACTGTGAGAAATGGAACCTACATGAGAAACCTTCTAGTGGATAGCCAGATTGATGGAGGAGAAGCTGGAAAACTACAAGAGAGAGAGAGAGAGAGAGAGAGAGAGAGAGAGACAGACAGACAGACAGACAGACAGACAGACAGACAGACAGACAGACAGACAGACAGACAGACAGACAGACAGAGGGAGCAGGTAATGAGCCAGGAAGGCTAGACCTGGTCTTCACATTCGAGACATTAAATAGCTGAGAGACAGAATATGAATTCCCACCAGGAAAGATTGATCACGCTGTCCTATTCTTGGGCTGCCTTGTTTAAATGAACCAGGCAGTGGCGCAGCCACGAGGGAAGTGGGGTTAAAGTTTCACTAGAGGAAAATACTTCTTTTTTTTCAATTAATAGTTAATTTCCACTGTATCATATTCACCAGTGATCATGTTTATTTTTAAGACGATTCCTTTGATTTATTCAACATCTTATTATTTTAAGTACCTCTTAACCCTGAGAATGAAATTCTGGCTACACGAGATAGAAAATATTTAGAAATTAGACAAGAGAGATCAACAGAGAAATGAGCAGTAGAGACAGAAAAGAATGCAAGGGTTAGAAGAGAAACAAAGTGACAATATGGGAATGATATAATAGCAAAAACGATATTAGAACCATAAATTCTGAATAGTCGTATCGCACAGATGATGATCCGTAAAGCACAAAGCGATACGAATTATTAACCAAGAAGAAAAGATACGTAATGACAGGATTGATAGAATGTCTGTAAGGAACTGAACAAGTGTGTCAGTGAGGTACTCACTGAGGGAAGGGGGTTACCAGTCAGCAGGTGAAAACAGAGGCCAGCTAAAGCTGAGCAATTTGAGATGAAGTGAAAATGTTGTTTAGGAAACAGAGAGAGCAGAGTCATTGTGTGAACAACTAGCAAAAACCTACAAGTTGTCGGAGACACAGGACAAAAGCTGGAGAATTTCAAAAAGTTGTTTCAGTATTTCGGATTATTAGGTTAGGTTAGGTAAGGTTCGTCAGGAAACAGGAGAAATGTTTCCTGACGCGGGTCTTAGTCAGATGATGACCCGCCTTTGGAGCTTTTGGTCATGTGACCGAGGTCTTCCGCTGGCTTACCGGTCCACCCCTTTAAAAATTATGGTCATTTATAACCATTTTTACTTCGGATTATTATTACACATGTGTTAAAAGACAAGTGCTAAATCTCATAATACAGCTCCGAAGAATAGACAGACAGCAGTGCACTACAGATCGGCATCGTTAATGTGTATGCTAATGGAGTAGATAATAAGGAGAGTGGTATGATTACCAGGAAAGGTATGTAGCTTTACATGAAAGCCAACGCGTATTTAAGAAAAGTAAACCATATCTCATAAACGTACTGAAGCTCTAGGAAAGGTAACAGAGAACAATGATGAATGAGTAAATGCATTTTTCCGAGCAACAAGAAGGCATTTGATATTATTCCCAACAAGACACTAGTCCACAAACTGTTGTAGCAGG